TAAGCTATTCACGGTTAAGAGATTTAGTGCTAGAGACCTTTAAAGATATTGCACCTGATATTTCTGCCATTGGTACGCATAGCCTTAGGAGTGGCGGGGCTACTGCTGCCGCAAATGCTGGCGTACCAGACCGACGTTTTAAGCGTCATGGCCGCTGGGCTAGTGAATCGGCTAAGGACGGGTGTGTCCAAGTTTTTTTATCTTCTCGTTTCGTTTGTCGGTTTCTAAGGCTTTAGGTATTTAGTTTTCTCGTTCGTACCGCTTTTAATTGATTCTAGTTTGTATTTAGTTGGTCTTGCCTAGGGGACCGTTTTTATGGGGTACAGCTGGCCAGGGGTTTTCTTCCTATGTGCAAGTGGACGTACGGAGAGGTTTTTCACCCAGCTGTTGTTCCACGACCCCATTGCAATTAGCTTGTGATCTAAGTCTTTAGATTACGTTTCTATAATATGTCATGTATCTTATAGTCTTTTCGTGAATAAACCGAGCGCTTGGCTTGAAGCGAGCCGCAACCAAGGTTTGTGTGATTTGTTGTTGGGACAAACTGAGATTTAGAGGAGAGTTATAGTTGTAGTAAGTGTCGTGGCTTATCTGTCGCAAGTAGTCCAGAGACAAGGGTATATGTGACTGACGTGACTGACAGGGCTTCTGTGCCTGCCACATCCAGTAAAATTGATTCTGTTGATCCTTTCGAGAGTGACAATTTTAATGTAAGTGTAACAATAGAAGGAAATAGTATCGCGCACTCCTTGACACAGGAGCAGCTGTAACAGCAATTAGTTCTCAAGTTTGGGACAAGTATCTTAGTCACAAAAATTGTTGTTTTGATTCCTCGTCGACCAGTTGCGAAACGACTGTAAGTGGTTCTCCTCTTAGCGTTCTTGGTAAAGTATGGCTCAATTTTGTTATCAAGTCTGATGTTTTCCCTTTTGAAGCCTATGTTATCAAAGATTTAACTCATGACGTTGTTTTGGGCAGAGATTTTCTTCAAAAATATTCTTCGATAATTGATTTTACGGATAACATCATTGAATTTTCCCACCCTTAGGATCCCCTCCCCTTTGCTGATAGTTTTGGTGATGATTTGGATGCTGACGTTTTTGATCATTGTATTTTGTCAGTGCATGCTGATAATTCTTTTACTATTCCCGCTCAATCAGAAGTCGTTGTTATTGGTAGATTAAGTTCAATGCCGAAAGGTGTAAACAACAGTGCCACTGAACTTAATGGATTTGTCTCGCCTAAGTCTGATTTGCCTCACCGTTACTCAGTTTTTGGAGCGTCAGAGCTCGTAAAGGCTTCTAGTGATGCAACTATTCCTGTTGACGAGATCAAGCAAGACTAACTACGAGAGAACGACTGGAGAACTGACAATTTGACCAACAATAGACGACGGTTTAACTTGACAACAGAAGGTTCGAAACGCACCAATTACTGATTTCGAGTCTTCATAGCCAATAACATCACGGCTTAACTGACAGACGACAAATAACATCGCGACGTAATTGACCAATCAGATCAATAACCAGAGTATAATACCATCAACTGACGTGATACAACTCACTTTGACTCTGAAGATGACTACCGCACAGGTTGTCGAAACGTCAGTCACTGTCAACAACAACAGTCCTATTCAGGACTACGTTCACCCGGACGATCAAACTCAACCTACTTTTGAAATGACTCCTGGATTCAAACCTTTCACAGTATTCTTGTTAGGACGGTAAACCCTTCCGCTCATAGGACATCTGTTTTAGATGCAACTGTGGATTCTCCTTTTTACGTTCTTTATGGGCGAGAGCCACGCTTGCCAATTGACGTTAAGTATTTGCCTCCTGCGGCTGATGATTTGAGTACTTCGGTCCTTGACTATCGAAAACGTACTGTCGAAAACGTCGAATTGGCTCAAAATTTAGCGCGAGAAAATATACAACGTCCACAACGAAAAATGAAGGATTATTACGATCAAAAGACAAAAGAACCTGTTTTTGAAGTTGGACAACGTTTTTGGGTTTATACCCCACGAACTAGAAAAGGGTTATTCAAAAAGTTAATACATAATTGGTTGGGTCCATACAGAATTGTTGAGAAATTGTCACCGGTTCATTTTAAGTTGCGCACGATCGCCAATAAAAAAAAGTTGCTTTCTCGTGTCACGCAAATCGTATGGAGCCATTTGTTGATCCTGATTTGAGATCAATTGACCCTCCGCCTTCCGATGACCCTGCCGAGAGGTACGTTAATGAATCGGATATTCCAAAAGATTGTTTGGAGCCAATTTCTTCTGAAGCGAATCCAGTTAGTATTGAGACGCCATTCCCTACAGTGTCAAAAAGAGAAAGAGTCAAACAAAGAATCAGACCATGAAAAGGCAAAGAATCAACTTCAAAATGCAAAAGAATCAACTCCGGAAGCAATTGTTATCGACGATAAAACTGTGTTTAGTGCAGAAAAGATTCTGAAACACCGAAAGAGAAATGGAAAGGTTGAGTACTTGGCCAAGTGGCTCACCTTTCTTAAAAATCAATCAACGTGGGAACCGGAACAACATATTTTGGATAGACGTACGTCTCATTGATAATTATCCCCAATCACTAAAATAATTATAGTTTTTGTACTCTGCCTTGCTGATTGGCTTATATTTCTTTGATTTTCTCTCACCCATGAATTGAGTTTGGTAATACCCAAAGGAAAAATATTTTTGTCCATGAATTTATGAACGCCTTCTCTCCGTTTCTCAAGTCTCTCTATAATCTTTTTGTAAGTTGTTGTTTACATTATGTCATGAATTTGATAAGTTTTTGTCTTCAGAAGTTAATGTAAAGTTGTCTTCAGTATCAAGTTATGCGCACGAGAAATTATTGTATCTAAAGTCTTTTTTAAAATCTTTTGATCTGTTAGCTTCTATATTTGTTTTCTCTGGCTATTTTGATTAAGTTGTTTCATATAGTTATTATAACGTTAGACGTCGGAAATTAGATAATTAGATATATTACGTGCTTTGTAATAGTTATTTTGCAAAGTTGCTTGCATTGGCATTTCCTCATGTATTCAATCACCGATTCTTCTTTATTCTTCGATGGCTTGTCTGTGATTCTTGGTCACATTTGTGCTCCAGTGATGCTTAGATACATTTCAGGAGTACAAATGTGTCTGAGCATTAGTCGATTGTTTGTCTCCAAGAAGTCTAAACACACTTTGATCACTCCGCATGGCATTGGCTACTTTGACCCCTTCTTTGTTACGGTTAAGCAGAACTGTGCTTGTTGATACTTAGCACTGGTCAGTACATTCCTTCTTCATCAGACGAGTTCGCTTCATTTGGAGCTGTTTCATAACATTTACAAACAAGATAACCTTGTCCTCCAAGTATGCGTTCTCTGCTACATTCAAGTTGAAATGGCATTTCTAGCAACCGTCCTGTATACTACTACAGGGTGATTTATGCTGTTAATTCTCAAGGTTTTCGAGTGGTTCTCTAGTCAAGTCCTTCACAAGAACACTGTCATCAGTTTATTTAGCTCAAGTTTTCAAGTCACAAGATTCAAGAACAATGTATTGAACACTGCACTATTGACACTGAACTGCTGAAATTGTTTTAATTATTGTGTAATGTGGTAATTTTGTTTTGATATTTAACGCACTTACTTCCCACTTATATGTATTACGTCCTTTTGCATCGAGGACGATGCTTTTTCTAAGGGGGGAGGAATTTTGTGGAGTATTTTGAAAGTTATTTTTAAGACGAATCTATCTTATCTTTTAAGTTTAGTTTTAGTTTCATTAAGTCTTGTTTTTGTCCACATACTATTTTCCAGTTTTGATCTTTTGTTTTTACTTGTACTTGAATTTATGCTTAGCTCGCGAATTTACTTATTGGCATATTAGGAATGTTAGTCGCTTGGCATTTTCAGATGTTATTTTTGAACTGGTGGTCGTGTTTGTGATGTTTTTTCTGACCTTCGTTCTTTGGTACTTGTCAGTTGCGGCTGTGCGTAGGCTAATCTATTCCCTAAGAATAGCAAACCTGTTGCACTGTTAGCGATAAGATATACAATAGAAACTCCTCCGGTCAGCTAACCCAAAAATGTCCAGCTTTGGCTATTAAAACCGCTACTATACTTGAACTAGTTAAGTAAGTAGCAGAAGTAGAGAAAAGTAGAAGAAAAGAAGAGTAGAAGTAGAAGTTGGTAGAAGTAAGTTAGTGAAAAAGTGGGAGAGTTAGAAGATTAAGAAGAATAAAAGCAAGATGTAAATCAGATTCCTAGTACCTCATCGTGTAGCGAGCGTGTTCCTCGAACACACCCCCACAAACTGTAGCCAGCTTCGTTTGGAATTCCAGCAAGAATGCATGGAATGCACACAACGCAATCTGATCAAGCGCGTTTGGACCTTCTATCAATCATATTCTGATCACGCGTGCATGGGCCATATATCACAGGAAACTTGCGCAAAACACAGCGTTGGAGCACAGGTAACTTAAGCTCTGTGATAGTATAGAGACATCAATAACAACCTGCAAAGAGAAAAGCGACTTGAGGGACGATTCCAGTAGTTTAATTGTACTATCACAGAACCTAGGTTACCTGTGGTTGGAGCAAAAGCGTTTTGACCTTATGCATTGTCGCCCGCATTCCGTAACTTTCGTTTATTACTTGTTAACATTTTATCGTTTTGCCTTTAGTTTCTAACCTTTTATTCTGGTCTGCGTACGCAAAGGCAGTCACGTTCCTGGTGGAAGCTTTTGCTGGTTTAATTTGCTCAATTAATACATAAACTCAGTCGGCCACAAATTGAACGAATAAGCGACAATGTTGACGGTATCTGTTCTCAAACTTCGTTCTTTTCTCTAAGTAAAACGAGCTCTAAAACGGGGTCCTTAGCAAAAAAATTTACTACGCCGACAAATTCTTCTCCTCTTCCACGGTTTTGCCTTCCAAGCTGCTTGAATGTATTTTTGCCAATAAATCGAAAAGCAAAGAGTACTTTCCGTAAGCAGGGATTCCACTATCCTTCCGTTAACAATAGCTCAGGTGTTTATAAAACTATTTTTTTCTTCCTATTTCACGCATCTTCTTCTCCTTCTCAAATTGCCTTTCATCTGCTCTTTGCAGAAAAGCTTGTTTTTCCAAATACCTAAGGACGTAAGAAAATATATGCAGAAGAGTCAATTGCGATAGTTGTTTTAATACAATCGGACATCGGGTGCGACCACCTCTCATAAGCAACGGCCTAAGACCACAAACACCAAACCCTTTACATACCATTTTGCATAGCAAATACAGCGAGCAGAGAGAAGATCAGTCTACAGTTGCAGTGGCGGGTGGCTTACAGAAGGGTAAAAACAACGGGAAATCACACAACCTTGTATCGTTTATGAGGGATTCCATATATACGCTTTGACTGGGTTTGAAATAGCCCAAAAAGGATAACAAAAAGCCGGATAGTTTACATGTCAGGTAATATAAGTAATGTAAGTATACCATACATGTACGTAAGTATAATATAAGTATAATTTATACTATAAGTCATATAAGTATACCAATGATTACACAACGTAACAATAGAAAACAGAAAACGATCACAAACCCGTCTTTATTAAAATTCCGCAGTTCATCATGAATTCCTTCCTGGTCTTTGAATGAGTTCCAGTCCAGCCTTGATTTCTCCTTTAAAAATTAAACAAACATCGCTGATTTCAGAATAAAGTATACATGTACTTCCCGATAAAACTGACATGAAAGCACGTATTAATTTTGTGTGTGTGAGTGTGTGCAGCTAATAAATGGACAAATAATCAATAGCTTAAATGATTACTTTTATATATTGATTCTATATATTTCTAAATATGGGTCTATTTACTCTGCAATTACCTCCAGTTGTTATAGTTTCATTAATATATAGATGTAGCCTGGACTAAAAGCGAAGTTCGCGTTAAAATAGTTTAATTTACTCAAACAAAAAATAAAATGGTGTTGTGTTAAACGGCGACGGTAACGAGAACGGCAAAAAAATCAACAGGTCTAATAAGCAAAAAAACAACTTTGCACGTGCAGCATACTTTTTCGTACATTTCTTCACCGTTGTTGTTGTACGACTACAACGTGAAACTTCCTAGTTACACGCTTAATGGAGGAAATGTCGTATATGCCCACAAAACATTTTGTTGCATGTGTCCCTGTTCGCTATTCGTTTTTTTCACTGCCGCTCATTTTTACCTTGCTGGCCTTGCTTTTTTAATGTCATCCATTTCAGTGTTGACATTAAAATTTAGTCAAAAAGAGACCCGGCTTTTTGTTGCTTTTTCTTAATAAAAGTCCAGGTGGGCGGCCAAGCGATTTAATTCATCGCCAAAACGTGCTGGTGCTTGAATGCGAAATTTCGCCCTCGCTTACATGTATGGGCGGACAGACGGACAAACGGTCACGTGACTACCAAATCTCTCGGTATATACTTCATGGTAGAAAGCCACAAGTGCACCGGTAATATACACTCTGTGTAATATGTAGTATTGTGTCTTCTCCCTAATAGCTAGTGGTAGTTACTAGTAGTTGGTAGTAGTTAGTGGTAGTCATTAGTAGTTACTGGTAGTTACTAGTAGTTGTTGGTTGTTACTAGTAGCTACTAGTAGTTAATAGTAGTTCTTGGTATTTACTAGTAGTTAGTAGTTGTTATTAGTAGTTACTGGTAGTTACTAGTAGTTACTGGTAGTTACTAGTAGTTGTCGGTAGTTACTAGTAGTTAATAGTAGTTAATAGTAGTTCTTGGTATTTACTAGTAGTTAGTAGTTGTTATTAGTAGTTACTGGTAGTTACTAGTAGTTGTTGGTTGTTACTAGTAGCTACTAGTAGTTAATAGTAGTTCTTGGTATTTACTAGTAGTTAGTAGTTGTTATTAGTAGTTACTGGTAGTTACTAGTAGGTACTGGTAGTTACTAGTAGTTGTCTGTAGTTACTAGTAGCTAATAGTAGTCCTTGGTATTTACTAGTAGTTAATGGTAGTTATTAGTAGTTACCGGTATTTACTAGTAGTTACTGGTAGTTGCTAGTAGTTATTGGAGGTTACTAGTAGTTACTCGTAGTTACTAGTAGTTGTCGGTAGTTACTAGTAGTTACTAGTAGTTGGTGGTAGTTACTAGTAGTTACTGGTATTTACTAGTCGTTACTAGTAGTTGTTGGTAGTTACTAGTAGTTACTGGTAGTTACTAGTAGTTACTAGTAGTTAATAGTAGTTCTTGGTATTTACTAGTAGTTAGTGGTTTTTATTAGTAGTTACCGGTAGTTACTAGTAGTTGCTGGTAGTTATTACTAGTTCCTAGTAGTTATCGGTAGTTACTAGTAGTTACTGGTAGTTACTAGTAGTTGTCGGTAGTTGCTAGTAGTTACTAGTAGTTACTGGTAATTACTGGTATTTACTGGTAGTTAGTGGTAGTTATTAGTAGTTACTTGTAGTTACTAGTAGTTGTTGGTAGTTACTAGTAGTTACTAGTAGTTTCTGGTA